AATCTTTTTCTTTTCTACACTCTCCCAGCCCAGCCACACAGTGGGAGGAAGCAGCACCAAAAGGAGAGAAGCAAATTTTAAATTCTGCAGGAAAACAAACAAAACACAAAACCTCCTATAGAACTTTGCTTGGCAAATGCCACTAGTGGCCACATTCTCTGACTGGAGTGGCACAAGGCACCTGCAAATTCACACTTTTGCATACCCCAGTGGTGTGATCGCACATACACAAATAGTGACAGGAGGAGTTACCCCATTTCCATGTGCAAAATGCCCATTCATGTGCAGGAAGGTACATTTCACATTTCTGAAGTCTGAGATCTCTTTGGAGAACCTAGCCCTTAGTGGTAAGGAAAGGGACTCCCAGTAGCTAGAGCAGGGACGCCTGGGTTCTAGTCCCATTTCTGCCAATGACTCCCTGTGTTACATTAGCAGAAGTAATTTGATGGTTTGTGCTTCTGCCAGCTGTATAATGGAGATAATAAATAGTGACCTACCATTTGGGGATTTGCAATAATTAATTGCTTGTATATAAAGTACTTTGAAAGAAATGAAGGACACGAGAGAAATGCCACTGTTACTTAGCATATTACTAGATGAAAGTCAGAGCCAAACTTTCAGCTGATTTCTCGTTAATGCTTCTGTCAAACTTGTGGTGCCTCCATTCTGCACAATGCAAACCCCTGCTTTGCCACAGCTGAACTCAACTGCCAAGCTGCAGGGACACACTGATTTGCTTGCAAACTTTTGCAGATGCATGACCGGCAGCCACAAAGCAGATTGTCCCTAGAGGCTAACGGTCCAATTCATAGAGATAGCATTGGAAGGAAGTCACCTCAGTTAAGCAGCCAACAGAAAGCTTATGGGATCACTTTGTATAACTGCAGAAATTATCACAAAAGGTGGGAAAAAAAGAAAGATTAAATTTGGCCGTTAAAAGACAGCCAGGTACCAGCATCTTTTCCCTCTGCAATTTCTGTTTCTGCTCTCTAGATGATTACTGCACTTGGTTGTGTGGCTTCTCAAGCTTATCTTCCTGTAATGCACTTGTGCATTTTCCACTAGGAAATGACTAATCTCAGCATATTTTTAATTGCTTAGTTTCAAAGAAAAGTTATTCCGACATATGTCTGAAGATTTAGCTCTTTAAATTAAGCCCTTAGAAGATCAGAGAGTTTAGGATTTAAGGGAGAGGGGAGGGAACTCAGAGAAAAACCCAACTCATGTTTCATCAACTGGCTTTTCTGAAGGAAACTCTGATAACGCTGTTGATTTAAAACTTAAAATAAAAGCTCTGATCTTTCTCCATTTCCAGATGCAAATCCCCCCAGGCGCCTCCCCCAAACCCTTATTTTCATCAAGGTTTAGGAAATCTGCATCTTACTTAGCATTTCACCTCCAGAATTTTAGGGACTCATAGAAACTGGAGCTGAAAAAGGTCCATCAAAGCCATCTTCCCTGGAACCAGTACAGGACAGAACTTGCAGGACTCCCCCTCAGCATATTCTTCAGCACTTTGGCCCTGATTACTAGCCTTTATACTGTAGGTCGCTTGTCATACATAAATGTATATAATGGGCACTATACACATGATTAAGTAATCACAGTTCCTGCTCTAAAGAATGTACACACTCAATATGCAGTGAACTTTCAAAGTGTAGCATAGAGTACACTTTAACTGCAGAGCTACTATGCTTGAAGGGTTTGTGTTGTGTGTACACAGGTCATTTCAATGAACTCAGCCCCCAAATTAGTGCATAGTAAACCCCACCTCCTTCCCCTGTGTAGACAAGCCCAAGAAGGCAAGGAGTGGGGGAAAGGGAATATTACGAAGTAGAAGTGCCTGGTCCAGTTTTAACTATCCAAATGCTGATGCTCTCCGTATCTTGCATGTGAGACTATTGCCAGTGAAGTAGATCTCACTCTTGGGTATTTCTCCGGTTATTCCGGTGAAACAGGCTTTACCTCAATTTCCCCTGGTTATGTGAATCATCTCACCATGAATTCCATGGGCCCCCACATGAAAGAGGAAGGCCAGGATTTCTAGCTATTACCATCAGTCAGGGTTTTACCACTAATTGGGGCAAGTCATTCAACCTCCTTCTGGGATTCGTTTTCCCTGGCTGTCTGACGGGGATGAGAGTACGTGTAAACTGCAGTGCTTCATTTGTGCCAGGGCTGAGCCCCGGCACCTCTGGGGCTTGGCAGTTCAGAGCCCCGGCACCTCTGGGACTTGGTGCATCAGTTATGAAAGTCAAAAAAAATTGCTTGAGCCCCAGCATCTCTTTCATTACAAATTAAGCCCTGGTGTACTGCCCGGCCCAGCGGCTTGGTGAGGTTTCATTAGTTAGTGTTTGTTAAGTTCTCCCAGGTCCTCAGCTCCAGGCAGATTGTTGTTATCCATTCCAGTGTTTCTCTGCTAAGCCAAGGCTGATTGCTTCAGCTCAGGAGTGCCATATTGTGCACAGTGTTCACGGAGACATCCTCCTGGTTGGACACAGGTCAAAGTGGTGAATGGCAGGCAGCTCAGGCTTCCTGCCCAGAGTTCGCTACACGGGCAGAGCTCCCTGTAACAATCAGCATCTCATCTCACTGAAAGTAACTACAGTGAAGTGGAAAAGGTTCATTTCCCAGCAACCAACTGCTTGACAGCTTTCTGTTCTATCCTACTTGGAGTTACACCAGGGATGACTTTAACCCACTGGATATAGGACAATGTGCCTGCAAACCGTGAGGACTTCAAACTACATTTCCAGAAAGCCACCTGATTTGTACCAGAAATTGACAGGACTGCTCTAGGATAGCTCTTGTCCTACCTTATAGGATGTTCAGAGAGAAGGGCGGTAGGCAAATCCTCCTCCCCCCTCAGACCAAAGATCTGTAGAGTCCCATAAAGCTCAGTCCTCCTTCAACTCTTAAGACCTATGGGGAACTATGAAACACCATGGTCTCAAATGCCAACACCACAGAGGACGTCATCTATATATCATTGCAAATAGCCTCATCTCCCTCTGCCTGGCTGAAGAAGAAACCAAGCACGACACAGGTGATGCTGGGAGAAGACAGAAACATTTTGGAGACCTACCAATTATTATCACCTTTCCCTGCATCAAAGGTCTCTGCTGAAGATGGTGGCATCAGCCTTCCTGGACTCCTCACTGCTCATGAACATGTGCCACACTGTGACCACACACATTGTTCTCTTTTATTTGTGACTAGCCAGAAAACTGCACCTCAGCTTAGCCAAGAAGCTTGGCCGTAGAGATCAAGGCCCTCCAACCCTCCAGACTGGACTCCTGCCGCTCACTGGATCTAGATATGAACACTCCAACATCAGGAAAGCTTCAGTAACTCCAGAAGACAGCAGTCTTCTCCTCAGCAACACCAGTCACCAGGAGCACTTCATTCTCCCCAACTCCTGATGCTCTGCTTACTACTCAGGGTCCCTGTGAAACACTGCATCAAATTCAAGGTTTCAGAGTTAAACTTCAAGGCCTTACAGGGGATTGTCCTGAGATGTCACAGGGAGAGGCGCCCTCTGAAGTAACACCTCCCTCACAGCTGCTTTTCTTAGGAACAAAGAAGCTGCCAACCTCCAGTGGAGCTTGTGGGAGCAGGGCTTTCTCAGCAACAGGGCCAAGGCTCTGGCACACCTTCCTGGGGAAGACCAGAGCGACCGTGGATCTCTACTGAGAACCCAGAGAGACAGACTGGTGCATTTGTGCATGCAGTGACCATGACTGTGCACATGTTCATGGTAACTTTGTGCCGGTTGAGGCGTGTAATTACATGTGCATCTTACTGAAAATGCAAGCCTCAGCAACACTAATTCCAAAGCGCCATATTTTTGGTGTCTGTCTTTAACAACTTACTCTGATAGCTAGGACACCAGTCACCGGAGACTCAGACCCAAATTAAAGTCAAATATTAAGTACTGTCCTGCATACGGTAATGTATGAAAATACCCAATCCAGCCTGTTCCAGGTATGTAGACACACACACACACACACACACGCAAAATCAGCCTTCAGTGCACATGTGTATTGGATTCCCATTCTGATCATTGCCCATGGCAGCTATGAGGAAACGCCGCCTTTTGGGTTACAGTCAACATTGCTAGAGTATTACTTGGGAAGGTGGGGGCCATAAACTGCTGCTGATGCATCCATACAGTGACTACTATCAAAACAAATGGCAGTGACTGGCACATACCAAGAGGAGGCTATACCCCTTGGGACTGGAGCTGTCCATCAGCACTGACATTAAGGGACACATGTTCAAATGGCTTCTGAAAGTATTTGCAGGTGCAGCCGTGCATGTGTGTAAATACGCAAAGTTTCATGCGCAGAGGTGCAGACTATTTACTGTGCATCACATTCCAGAAGCCCTTTGAAAACGCAGTCCTGACCCATGTAATGTAAAATGTAAAGCTTTGTTGAAAACCTTGGAGGAGCTACCAACACTTTGTCACACAATTCCTCTGAAAGTAAAAACTGAGAACAATAGTTATTCAAGTAACGCTACTGACTGAAGCTGAGAAGAGTAGTGGGGTGGGGAGGGAGAGGGATCTCTGCTAAGGGTGGTTGGGTTTGTAAAAAAACCTCATCAATCCAAAAGAGCATTTGTTACCTGCAGCAAAAGCAGCATGCATCAGGGGACAAGCCCAGAGCTGGGGAGCAGGAGACATGTTCTGTTCTTAGCTCTGCCTCTTGTCTGTGACCTTGGGCAAATCACTTAGCCTGTCTGTGGTGCCTCAGTTTCACTATCTTTAAAATGGGGGATGATAACGCTAACCTGCCTTTCTAAGCTCTGCAAAACCAGAACTAGGGGGTAGGGGTCATATGTGGGTCCTATTTCATCTCAATGCCCTACATTTGGGGTTGGCTCCGATAAACGGCTCCAGATTATGGCCCTTTTCTGAACGCTACCCCCTCAGAACTGAGGGAGCTCAGCCCTTTTCTTTGGAAACCTGCCAACTGCTGTCATTTCTCTCTTTGCAGGCAATAAGTTCTCTCCCACACACGCTGGTGTCCTGTTACTGTGTGTCTGGGCATACGCCCTTGTCTTTGCCATAGCTCCTCTAGCCAACTGGGGCAGTTACGGACCAGAGCCCTATGGGACAGCCTGCTGCCTTAAGTGGAAAGCTTCAACCAGGGAGGCAATGATCTATATCGTGGTCCTCTTCATCTTCTGTTACCTCTTCCCTTGCCTTCTGATCCTCATCTCCTACTCGCTCATCCTTTGGACTGTGAAAGTGTCCCGAAGAGCCGTGAAGCAGCACATGTCACTGCAGAGCAAAGCCAACAGCGTGCACAGCTTGATTGTCAAGGTAGGGCAATGGGGCCTGTGTGCAGCAATGAAAGCAAAGGGGCTTTTGCTGGGAGATCTCTCACCCCACATAGGGAAAGTGTTACTAAGGGGATACAGCATAAACTGGAATGTAGGACCCCTGGGCTCTGCTCCCAGCTCAGCCAGAGATTTCCTCTGTGACCTAAGGCAGGCCAACACCCCTCTCTGTGCCTCAGTTTACCTGTCTGTAAAATGGGGATAATGATACTCATCCAGCTTCGTGGAGCTCCTTGAGATCCTTGCATGCAAAGTGCTAAGTATTATCAATTATTTAAAACAAAAAATAAGTGGAAAAAATAATCTGATTTGAGCCTGCTGAACTATTGGGAAAGTTCAAGCTCTGAGCCAGTTTGCAGCAGAATTCTGCAGCTTGAGCATAGCTTCTAAGACAAGGTAAAACATCAGACACTGCCTGTATCTCTTCTCCATTCTCTGTTCATCACTTACCAGGGTAGGGCCTGATACACGGCTTGTGGGGGCTGGATGATCTTGCAGGGAAATGGACTCAATGATCTCTCACTCCTATGGTCTTCTAGTGCAGCTGGAACTCCTGCCCAGCTCATTGGTTGAAGAGGACAGTATGGCATTACACAGGATTTGCTTTACTGCATCAGGTCACTAGTACTTTAAGTCCAGCATTCTGCCTCTGGCAATGGCCAATACCTCATGCGTTAGAGCAGTGGTTCTCAACCCGCTTGTGGCCCAATCAGCACACAGCTGCAATCCATGTGACATTCTCAGGGCCAAAGAGGTAGTATACATATTGTGTGGATGCGGCCCACATGACACAGAGAGAGCTGTGTATGCGGCTCACAACGGTAAATAGGTTGAGCACCACTGCTTGAGAGCAAAGTGCCCTCCTCTTCTCCATGCTGCTGGTCAATTGATTGCATGGGCCTTTCCTTCCTAACACCAGCAGGGATCAGCTGATGCCAGAAGTATGAAGGTTCATTACCCTTTCCTGAGCAATTAATTGCTCTGTCAGCTGAGACACCCTGAACACTGCCCAGGATTTGAGGGCCAGATTCTCAAACAAGCTAGGCATGCAAATATATGCCTAATATGCATGCACATGGCTAATTAGTTACATAAGGTCCACAGTTAGCCCATTTGATTGCATAGCTGCAGTAAATGCACACACATTTTAGGCTTGTAGTTGCTGAGTCACTGGAAGATCGGCCCAAGTATATCTAGACAAATTCAGCAGAAGACTAAGAATTCTGAAGCCACTTGCTCCTCCCTAGAAATAGGCCCAAACCAAAAGCCAGATGCTAGGCCCTCAAATTTTGGGTGAAATTTGGATCTGAACCCTGGCTCCAAATTTTGAAACTCTATCCTATTTCTATTCCTCTCCAAAAGGAAAAATACGTACACTACTATCCAAATACCACCTAAGCACTCTGGCAGTCAAGACACACAATGGAGGGGTGGGAAAGCGTGGCTAATAAATAATTGAGAACATGAAAATAGGAAGGGAAAAGATGGCTGTTACCATTTCTCTGCATAGTGACACATGAAAGAAACACACAGGATCATGAAAGAAGAAAAAAATCTTATCAGATCAGCAACAAATAATCTTGTCTGCAACTATTCCATCCCTCCCCCACATTCCCCAGGCACAAAACATTAAAACAAAGGCAAGTGCAGGCTGAAAATATGACCACCCCCACCCCCCGTATCTCAAAATCTGAGCGTTTCCTGACTATCTAGTGACAGCAGCATAACTGACTGTTCCCAGAGCTGCCTTGATTTGTTGGCAAACACGTTCTCCTTTTATTATGGAGGAGTTTGGAGCCAGGGTGGCAAAGCCACCTTCACCAGTGACAGATGGAGGCAGCTTCCTGGAGGCAATATCCAAACATGCTAGGGTCTTGCTCACTCAATCAAACACTGGTTTGTTTGGAATTCTGAGTCAAGCATTTGAATGAGTCCACACGAATCCATATTTATTTGCACCTAAAATAATGAGACTCCTTGAAGGCTTCTGAAAAGTAGAAGTATTTACCAAGCCAGATTAATTCTCCAGGTGTTTATATTTGTGCTGCTAGTAATACATCCCTTCTCCTCCTCCTTATTTAAAGCCATCTGATGGATTTGTTTTCATATTAAATTACATTGGAAATAATAAAAAAAATGCTGCCTTCATGACTCATTGTTCCCCAGTCTACCGCTAATACTATAATTTACCAGGGGGGTGTGGGAGAAGTCTGTCAAAAGAATTGATGCCTTTTTTAAAGGAAGAAAATTTGATTTTCTAACATAGACTCAAATGTGCGTGCGGTATAGGAGGAAGGATGGACTTGTGGTGAAACCACTGAACCAGCACTCAGCTCCCAGCCCTGCCACTAACTTCTTTTGTTTGTGCCTTTGTTCCTCATCTGTAAAATGGGAGGAAAAATGCCTCTCCCCATTTGTTTGCTGTCTCTCTCTAGATTATACATTCTTTGGGACAGAGACTGTCTCTCACTGTGCACAACAGGGCCCTGTTCCAGTTAGGGCTTTTTGGTGTGACTGTAATACAATAATTCTTCTCTATCCCAAAGAACTTATTATGTTCAGCCTACTTGTGCTTTTTGCCTTCACAGCTCATCATGATAAGGAAAGCCTCAGGATTCTTAACCTTTCCCCAACAAGCGTCCTATGTGATATAGAACAGAATGATATGGTTGAAGCAACTAACGTATCTGAGCTGTAATATGCTGACTTGCTTTGCCTATGTTACATTGCCGGCTGGCAATTTAACTATTTACATACTGAACCTTTCCTGCACGTCCAAGCATCACACAGCTTTTCAGATCATAGCTATTTAAATAAACAGAGGAGTAGGGCTCTCAAACTGTGTTCAAAATACCACCCCAACGGACATCCATCCCAACATACAGATAGGGTTAAGACCTCACAGCAGGAGAAGGTAGAAAGGGGATATCACACACACCACCTGGTTTCTTTTCAGCACCACAGTCTCTCAGGAGCTATTTCCTGCAGTGAGGCCTTCTGACCCCACAAACATATCTAGTGTGGATGGTCTGTTGGTGACTGGGAGGGAATATTGAAAAACAGAGACCCACCTAACTATTGTGCCAGGGGTCTGTGGCATCATTTCTCCCTTTAGATACGTTGCTGCAGATGGGATGGCAGCCAAAATGCTCACTGCAAAACTAGGAGCTGTCTTTATTATTATTCTTTGTACACGTGTGTATGCTACAGAGGGGCTGCTGAGGAAAAGTTTGATCTGGAACGTTTGAGCCAGAGGGCTGGCTCTGGCCCTTAGGGGCCATGGCTGAATTGGGATTAGGTTCAAAGTGTAACCTCCGATCCTCTCAAAACTTAGGGTTGCTTGGCCTTGGGATTATGGCATAGGCCTGTGTGCACTTCATGAGTGTTGGGGGAACACTATGCTTCATACCATAGTCATTTCCTTTTCTCTTCCAGCTAAGCGTTGCTGTGTGCATTGGATTTCTGGCTGCCTGGACCCCGTATGCAATTGTTGCCATGTGGGCAGCCTTTGGAGATGCCAGCCAGGTTCCAGTTCTGGCCTTTGCACTCTCTGCCGTTTTTGCCAAGTCCTCAACGACCTACAACCCTCTGGTCTATCTGCTTTTCAAACCCAACTTCCAGAAGTTCCTCTCCAAAGACCTGTCCCTGCTGCAGGCCATCTGTGCCGTCATCTGCTGCAGCCACCAAAGTGTCGTCACACTCCAGTCTTTCCAGACCAGAGAGGGCAGAACCTCTGCCAGGCTCTCCACAGCCTTCCCTGAGTCCCCTGGGGCTTGCAGGAACTGCAACGACACTTTTGAATGTTTCAGTAACTATCCCAGGTGCTATAAGCTCACCCAGCAATCCGACCCTACAACCAGGCCCAATCTCCTGGCAGACAGGCCTGCTTGCCAGCCGGCTCTGAAAAGGACTGTGCAGGTCATGGTGCTTGTTACCAGGAAGAAGTCGGGAATGGGGACTACAAGCGTGGCAAGAAACGTTCTGCCTTCAGACCTTGTGAAAGATCTTATCTGAGCATCCAGAGAGGCCAGGAGCTCCTGAGCAGGGCTAGGCCTCCCCATCCTAGACAACAGGGAATATTTTAGCTTCATATATTTAAAAAAAATCTGTTTATATGCCTGATGGGTCCTAACCTGCAAAAACGCCCTTTATGTGATACAGAAAACTGTACACCAGCCTTCCATTTTTGCTGTTGCAATTTTGGACCTACAATTTGCCCCTGTAAAAAGGGACACTGGTGTCTGAAAATCTGACTATGTATTACAGTTATGGATGTTTCCACTGAAATACGCTCCTCAGGGCCCTTTACCTTTGTTTTTCCATATTCTGGTGCTTTGATGGCCACACATGAACTTTATTCTCTTGAGAAGCATTGTCTAGCATGCAGGGCTGGGAGCTAGAAAGTTCTGACCCCAGGTCTGATCCAGATCCCTGTAGCCTTTTGCAACCAAGTCACTTAATCATGTCAGTTTTCCCACTCATCTACCCCACAGGAGGACAGTGAAGATTAAGTAGTTAATGTTTGCAAAGTGCTTTGACTCCAAAGAGCCTTATATAAGCACTCAGTATTGTATTAAATCTCAAGAGACATCACTCTGTGTTATGCCATATTACCCAACCCCCCACCATTAATATAAAATAAAGCCCTGTCCTACAAATAAGGATTTGGGTCTAAGATGATCCTGTTCAACTAGTACAGATTCCATGTGCTGCTCCCCACCGTGTGAACAGCAAGACAAACTGCAGGACATCCGTTTAGGTAGATTGGCAGTGATGCAAGACTGGGCTTTATTGTCCATTTAGCTTTTAGGTGTAATTTAAACAACATGTAGGCAACACATTCCTAGGGGAGGGGACTGGGGTAGAGGAGAGCAGAGCAGTTATCAAATAGCATGAGCCAAAGTCCATTGAAGTTGATGAATAAATTCCCGATTACGTGCTGAACCCTGTCACAGGGCAATTTACGAGGCAGAAAAAGATGGCAGCGAGAAGCCCGTGCACCAATCCACAACCTGGTCAGCTCGCATTGCTTCCTGTTCTCAGAACTCCACCTTCTAATGGCAAAACTGACAGAGTGGGCACAAATACTATATATATGCACAACTCTTCCTGCATAAGCACTGCAAGGAATGCAATTTACTAGAACATTTGGGTAAATAAGGGATTCCCTAAACAAGAATATCCTTCTGTGACAGAAAAAAGGCTGCTATGTCCTGGATATATACAAAAGGATCCAACTCCAGAAATGCCATGTCCAAGAGACCCAGACTGGAGAAAGAGTGGCTACATGGAAGACAAAGAGAGATGTCCAGTCTCTTTACTATAGAGTTGGCTATTGGAATTACATATCCAGAACCATAAAACAAACTGGGGAAATGAAATGAATACAACACCCTCAGGAAAAACATCCTCAGCACATGGAACGCTAGCTACCATGTTGTATAATATGCAAAACATTTCTAAGATCCTGTAGAAACTCTGCAAAAAGAATAGGAGTACTTGTGGCACCTTAGAGACTAACAAATTTATTAGAGCATAAGCTTTCGTGGACTACAGCCCACTACTCTGTTGGTTACCAGGACCACTAATCAAATGAGGAGTGAGAGAAAACAATACACACTGGAAATGGAGCAGAAGCCAGGTAACTCATACACGTTCTGCATTTTGAAAGAAGTTACTGGCTAAGAAAAATTTCCACCTTAAAATACAGCAGTGGGGGTGGGGAGAATGATAATATGCTCAGACTAGGAAATACAAAAATATAATAAAAGAAGAACAGAGGTGTAGAAGAGTAAGCTCATCGCTGGAGCCGCCCCCCATGACTGAGGATGGCCTAGCAGGCCCTCCTTGTCTGGCAACCCCTGCCTACAGCTGCTCCAGCCTTGCAGTGATGTGGCTCATCTTGTGACTCAGCCCTCCAGCCAGACTGCTTTTCATCCCACCCCTTAAAGTCCAACAAACAATAGTCTCATGGCCTCAAGATGAGTCTTTGGTGCAAGTCTGGACTTGTTAGTATTACCACCCCAGTATCTGGGGTCTTCAACCACCTTTGCCAGTGGTTGGTAGGGGAACCCAGGCTTTCCCTCTCTTCTAGGTTCCAAGCCAGGGACCTTGTATCAAGCAGGCAAGGTCTGTCTACTCAGGCCCTCTGCTTCTTCCTACCTCGGCTATCTGCAGGCCTCCCTAACAGCCCCTTCTTGGTCTCACCCTGTAGCAACATTCCTCACACCTACCTGAAGGATTCAGGCTTCACCTGTCCTTCAGGGCTACGGTTTGCAGGATTCCCCTTGGAGTTCTCTGAAGGATCCCAAACCCACCATATAAACTTAAACCACCTCTACCCTCACTAGACTTAGGCTTCAGAACACCTCCCTGATACTCTACTCCTCAGCTGAAGACTAGCTCCCCAGGGCTGCCTTCCTGAAGTCATATCCCTCTTTTGAAATCCACCATAGGTGCTAACTCCCTCCTATCCCTACTCCCTTATTAAGGGCAGTAATCTCAGAGAGCAGGAGCTCATAGCATCCTCTCTAACTGAGCTTTCTAAATCCTTTTAAGGAACACCTGACTCTTCTTCAGGTGGATCTGCTAATTGACCTACTTACCACCCCTACAGGTGCCAGCAGGCAGGCTAATTGAGTTCACAGGCTCCTGTTAACCCTCTCAGGACCAGTGTGGGATTTACACTCCATCACCAGAGAAGGTGGGGGAGGGGGAAGATAATACATATTTCCTAACAGCGAAGGGCCAGATTTTGATGCCCCACAACCCACACTCACATTGAATTGTACCGTACTAACACAATTGGCTATATTGATTTCCATGGGGCTACGTGCAGAGTAAGGATCTACTGAGTGTGAGTATGGGTGGCAAAATTTGGCCCTAAATAAACAGATACTCCCATCCACTGGAAAGACAGAGCAGCTCAGACAGTAAATGGCTCACAGTATCTGCACTAATATTCAGCTGGCCAGATGCCTAAAGAACTCCCGCCACTGCTCGAAATACAGAAACTGCTTCCAGACTAACTAAATTCGACAAACATAATTAAAACAAGATTGCAAAATTCTCCCCCCTGGTTTGACTCTTATTACTTTAATGTAGCACTCAGGGCTGGGAGGCATCAGTCACAACATCTATTCCCAGCTTTGCCATTCAGTTCTTGCATCACCTTGGGTAACTCACATCACCTCTCGGTGCCTCAGTTTCCTCATTTGTAAGATAGTTTAGCCTCTGTGAAAGCCTGATTATGGCTAAGGTTTCTAAAGTGATTTTAGATCCTGAGATGAAAGGGGCTATTGAAATGCAAAAGCATTGTTGATCGAGATCCTGGAAAATAAGAATCCTAAGTATTTACTTCTGTTTCATACTAAGAAATATAGGTCTGTCATAAACCAGAGTAACTCTCAGAGCCAGTGACTGGGTAACAGCTGCTCCAATCAGTATCACATGGAGGTAGATGGGACACTAACTACCAATAAGAAACACAGGAGCAGAATTGCCAGTGCCAACTGTTCAAAAATCCTGAGTCAGGTCCCAGAAACCCAAGAGATTGGCTTAAACATCCTGAGATTTAAATAAATTTTGGGGTAATTTATACTTCCCTCTGACTGCTGAGCCTCCACGAGGTTTTCAAGCTTTTCTCTGTAACCATAAGTATGAAATAAATAAATAAAATGAAAAGTGAAATTCTCACCTAATCACATGAATCTGGGAGCTGGAGCTTTAAGAAAAACACTAAATATGGTGAAATTGTTGGCAACACTGTGAAGAGTCACCTGGCAGAACAAGGAAAACATTTTGAAAACCCTGAACACCCATTAGACCACATCATGACAATTGGCCCATAGACAGAGCAGATGCCAAAACAGAAAGAGGTTGTTTTCACTATCTACTTTGAAACCCTCAAGTGAAGGGTATGATCTCTCTGGGTCTAAGCTGCATTAAGGCCTCTTCACACGTCTTGGGTAGTGCAAATGGGGCTGGAAAGCAACCAGGTCTCCTTAGCTGGGACTCCGCTCTGCTGGGAGAATCTCTAGCTAGCAGATACAGCCAGCTCCTGGAACCCAGAATAATTTTGAGCTGCTTTGAAATACTTTGAGGCCAGCATGGAACCAGCCCAAGGTCATGGAGCTGTGCTGATCAGAATCCAGCCCTCTATGCTCTCACATCATTTTGTTTACCACTGAAATCATGATGCTTATCACATAGCTCCTTTCATCACAGGAGTTCACATTACTTTGCAGTCAGCAAGTAATTTAGCCTTCCCACGGTCCTGTGAGGTAGGTAAGAATTGTTATACCTATCTGCAAAAGGGTCAACCAAGAAGCAGAGATGTCAAGAGACACAGTTAAGGTCTCAAAGAGTCAGTAGCAGAGGTGGGAACAAACCCAAGCTCCCTCGTGTAGTGATTAGAGCAAGCTGCCTTCTTGGTCACATTTAATGAGCTACTCCTAACAGTGATTTTCTACATCAATTTTTCAGTATCATTAGTTAATTAACAAAACTACCCTGCTCCACAATCCATTCAGGAACACTGCAGGGGAGTGGCATTAGACCATTAAGGCACTTAACTGGAATGGTAAATTATTTTCTCTCTAGTGAGCTATTGGCAAATACCATCTCACATATACAGTGCTACTGTGATAACATGTTGCTCTGTATTCTTTCCACAGCACACAATAAATTACTTGTCTTCTCTATTCTGTAATCTGATTCTTATCTCTTTCTCATGGATTATTCTCTGCAGATACAGATATTGCTATTCTTAGAACACACTCTCTGAGCAGTGGAATATTGCTATCTTTTCTTAGCACTGTGTGGACTTTTCAGTAATGCTAATACTTTACACTTATGTAGCAGCATCTGTTATTTAGAGAGCCCAAACCACTTTACAAAATATTAATTAATTTGAGCATCTTACAAAAGAGAAAAGTGTTATCCCCGTTTTACAGATAGGGAAACTGAGGCATAGGGCAGTTAAGAGACTTGCACAAGGCCACCCAATAAATCAGTGGCAGAGCAGGGAATACAATTCAGGCCTGTGCTCCAAGTACTGTGCCTTCACCATGACTATAATTCTTGTGCATACTTCTCCTGCCCCTGTTCACAGAGTTTATCCAATAGTGCCTAAAACATCTAGGGCTAAGAATGGCCACAGGGTCGAAGAGGAAAGCAAATCTCACATTCCTGGGGAGAGGGAGTTACACTCCATGCAGGAAACAGGAAGGAGGCAAATCATTCATCAGCTGATAAGATGACAAACGGTCCAAAAGTTTCTCCTGTAATTTGATACTGGCTATGGTTTCGGGCTTCATGTGAGATAAATTTGTGGGTGTCCCATTTCACTGAGGAAGCCTCAAGAAAGTGTCTCTCTCCACTGGGCCGATACTGTCCAGAGAAATGAAAAATGTCATCAGAAACAAGCTTTGCTTTACAGGTGTCCAGAAGAGACACCTGTAAACCAAGTGACCGCAGTGGGAGCAGCTGCCCCTTGCCCAGCGAGGAGACAGTAAGGGTTCCAGTTACACCCAGCCACTGACTGAGCTGAAAGCAGTTTGCTGCCCATCATTACATCCCAGCAAATCTTCATTCTCCACATGTCAAAGGACGCCCTCCAAGGCCCAAACCCGAATTCTGTGAATTCCGTACTCGTGTCAGTTCCTGGCTGCACTGACACACCTTCCCGCCCACTTTTCAATTAATATAGAATCAGGCAGTGTGCAAATGCACAAGTGACTTATCCAGAGTTATCCAGGGCCATCGCTTGTGCGACCCAGGTGCTGTAGAAATTGTAAAGACTCCCAGAAGGGACTGAGGGCTGGAGCAAGGCAGAAACAGAGGAAGTGCGGGGAAATAGGATCATAGGGGTTAGAGATAGAAGGCACCTTCCATTGGCCACCTAGGGCAAAATCCTAGGCCCCAGTGAAACCAATGGCAAAACTCCCATTACTTCAGTGGGGGTTGGATTTCACTCCAGTGCTTCACTCCCTGCTGTGTATTTTCTAGGGGCTTTGTCTCGTTCGGGTTTAAAGAGGATGGCAGATATGCAGGCAGTTTAAAAAAAAAAGAAATAGGGTGTTAGCCCCCAATGTCCTGATCGAATTCCAAGGTGGGTCATTATATTCTTCCTACCTACATTTTTCTAGCAGTTTCTATTACACGTAGTATCCTCCATGTCCTGTCCTTAGACTATTGTTTCGTGTTGCTATGGATCGTTGAATGGTTGCTGCACTTTAACCCAGAAGTGGCTGCACCCCAATGGGGGAGAAAGTGATTGCTGTACATTGACAGTAAATCAATCAGCAAGGCTTGTAACAGTACTCTGGGACCTTCTAGATGAAAGGTGCTTTCTACGTGTATGATCATTATCAGCTTCTGCTGCATAACTATAACTAGCATGTGACAGCATGACAGTCATGTGAATGGTGGCATATGCCTTCGTGCTTCAGTGGTCTCTGCTTAGCCTCTTCTAACTAACAATTCCCTATGATGTGAGTGGGTTTGTGAACAAGAATGGGGCTCAGCTTTTCAGAACTGAGTGCACATTTACCCCTCTCCCCAGTACTGTGATTTCATGTACATGTGCAAGTGACCAGTTAGACATCCATTTGTACAAATGGAACAGGTCAAGTTCTGAAAATCTGGGCTTTGGTTTCTGTTCATGCTTTGCAAAAAACTTACAATATTTGCAAAATCTGGGGGGTGGGGTGGGAAACAAAAAAACCCAGGGCAGCAAACGAAGACAACAGCCAAAGGAAAACCAAGTTTCAAATGTTTGCAACTATCTGTGTGTCACAGCCGCCTTGGCCAGTCAAGACAGCAAATCCCACCTGAGCCAGGCCAAGATCATTCAGGAGTTGCTACAGAAATATGTAGGGCTACTGCTGGGAATGCCCCCACCACAGTGACACCCCTGCCCAGGAGGAAATACCTAACACTCTCTTTCTCTGTTTAATATTCATTGTCTTGCAAAAATTGTATGTTTTTAAAATAAATTCACTCCTGCAAAACTTGTATTGAAGTCAGTTCAGTTAGGCCGGTATTCACTCTCCTGTATAAGATAGCTCTCCACCTTCTGCTGAACTAATATAACTGCTAATGCGAGTCCCCCTGGGCATGAGAATACAGAAATCTCATGGATTAAGAGCACTATATCAAGGAGATGGTAGGAATGGCTCATTTGTCAGTAGTACTAGCATTGCTGGGAGAGAAATTCTTCTCCAAAATTTCAGCCCTTCTCGAAGGGACATCTCCTCAGCCAGCTGCTTAGCCACTCACCCCACACTACTCCCCATAGCCACTGAGCCCAATTCTGACTCACTCACATCCGTGTAAACGAGGAATAACTGCAGTGAGTCAGTGGGGTGACACCAGGAGAGAATCAAGCCAACTAACATACTATTGAGTATCAAAGGCTCATACACTCCAGACAAGGGATTGGAGCAATTAGGTCCAAACCATTGGGCAGATCAGTTCAGGATTGTTCCTTACAATTTATTCTTCTGAGCTTTGTCTAATGCAGTGTATATAACTCCTCAAACAAGCTGGGAGGCCAACACTTTCCTTGGGAGACCACTCCACAGTCCACTTGATCTCCCCACAAGGAAATATTTCCTTCGATTCAGCCTAAAATAGCAACATGGAGAGCAAGTCTGGGCCCCTTTCTGGCTGGATGTTAGGGGCTAGCTTGCCTGAGCTAAACGGCCTCACTTAGGCAGCAGCACTATCAGCAAGAGGCGGCCTCTAAAATCTGAGGGGAAGAGCCAATAGGTGGGCAGCACACATTATTGTTTATAATTTTTATGAGCTCAGGGCCCCATTGTGCTAGGTGCTGTGCATACACATAGCGAGAGGCAGTCCCTGACCCCCAGAGATTGCAGTCTAAATGGCAAGACACACAAGAGGTAGGAGGGGAAACAGAGGCACAAAGTGATGAAGTCTAGGGTTACAGAGCCAGTTAGTGCAGAGCTGGGAACGAATCCTGCTCTCCTAGTCCAGCGTCCTATGTGCCAGCCCTGTGCCAATGTGCTTTAGCATGGTTACATCTTACTGCTAGGTACAGAGCTC